GGTCTTGCTATGTAGCCCAGGCTGGCCTCAAACTCATGGTGAGACTCCTGCCTCAGCCTCCCAAGTGCTGAGATTACAGGCGTGCATCACCACACCCAGCTCCTCCAGCATTTTACTATGATCCATTAAAAACCTACAGAAAAGCTGAAGAAATGACACAATTCTACCACCAACACCTGACCGTCCCTGATTGACTCACCACTAGTTCATCTACCTTTCCCGAGCCTTTCAAAGTCCATCACAGGGACAGCGCACTCCTCAAATAACTCAGCCCGTACATGGTTAAACTACAGTTCAGTACTTAGTAGTACTTCTTTCTGTTGTTTTAAGTTTTCAATATTTAGATTTTTTCCTACTCCCAAGATAGAAAAGAAAACCCAGTATGGTGGCACACGCCTGTGATCCTCCTCCCTCACCCTCCTGAGTGCTGAGGCAGGAGGATCACTGTGAGTTCAAGACCAGCCTGGACTACATAGCAAGCAAGGCCCTGCCTCAAAAAACCAAAAAAGGTGAAAAATATTGACTTCTGTACTCCAGCAATTCTGTTTCCCTTTTTATGTGGGGAGTGCTGATTCATTTCAAGCTTATGTTGTGCATGATGTAAGGAAGGAAGGAATACAGTTTTTACACATTGAGAGACTCCATTTTAAAATTATTTTTATGGAGATATCACCCACATAAGATTCACCCTTTTAACATGTACAATCACTGAGTTTTCAGTACATTCACTAAGGTGTGCAACCACCACTACAATTTCATTTTTTTTTAAATTTAAGAATGTCACCTGCCAGGGATTTAGCTGAGGGGCGCTGTGTCTGCCTTGTAAGCACAAGGTCCTGAGTTCGATCCCCGGTGCCAGAAAAAAATTTTTTTTAGAATGTCACCAAATGGCTGTCTAGCTTTTCACAGCGCATATTAAAAACTCCATCTTTCTGCCAGAGGGGAGTGAGGCCGTCCTCGTCAACCAACGTCCAGTGTCCCACCAGCCTGCTTGTCTCTGTTCTGACCTGAGACCTTCTGGACTGCATCTTCACTGAGATCGCGCTGTCGCGCTTTGAAGGAAGGGGAAAAATTTGACCTTGCTTCCTATAGACAGAAGCCGGATTCCCCAGTGACTGTTGGTAAGCCATACGGGTATGATGAAAGGCAGCAGGAAGCTCTGCAGGAGAGAGGCAGAGTCAGCTCGGCCTCCCCTTCTGCCTGCGCACCCCCGGCCCAGGCAGGGAGCGCCCGCCCGAGAGGCACCTGCAGCTCGTGGCTGAGGCAGCCACAGACGTGGGAGGAGAGGCCCAGCGTGTCCAAGGCAGTGCGGGCAAACTCGTCGGCACTCTTCACCAGCAGCCCGGTTGACTTGTTGTTGATCATGTTTGTGGAGACAAACGAGGGTCTCACCGTCTGCAGGACAGGACGGAAGGGGTCCAAGAAACAATGCTGTGCTTCTGTTAAGACCCACCCACCTCCCCTGTCTAGCTGAGTGTCCAAGACCCCAAGACCTAGACCCGGCCCCCAGATAGAGCCTTGCCCTAGACCCCGCCTCCAAGGCCAAGGCCACGCCCAGTCTGGACCCCGCCCCCAGATGGCGATGGCCCAGCGGCCTAGACCCTGCCCCTAAAGCCAAGG